TTGTATCTGCAACTGTATTTGATAATGTTTTGAACTTTTGCAAGCAGAAGCTGCTCTTCATATTAGTGACAAACGATAACAGTAACAACAGCTTTTTGACAAGTTTAAATTTTCTTTAAAATACATTCAAAGTGTTTAAAAATAAACTACACAAATGAATTTATAGTGCAAATTAAAATATAGTTGTATCTGCAACTGTATTTGATAATGTTTAGAACTTTTAAAATACTGCATGGTAAAAACAGAAGCTGCACTGCATATTAGTGACAAACTTTGGTGTTTTTTGACGAGTTACTTTCATTTCTGCTTCTACTTTTCATTTAAAATAAATTTCCATTCTCAGCAGGTTTCTAAGTTTCTTCTTCTACATATTAAAAAAGTTGTTAAACATCAGAGTGGCGCACTACTGCTACTAGTGGTGAGAAAGTGTATTGCACCTTATTCAAAATCAGTGCGGTCCCACGGCCCTCTGCGGCCCAAATTTAAAAACTGTTGTTCTTTTGAGGCCCTCAAGGTGGCGCTCGCGGCCCATAATTGGGCTGCGGCCCATAGGTTAAGAATCGGCTAATGGACGCTGTAGACACTGAGGGGAGGAGCAAGAAGGGCACACACGTACAAACTGCCCTGAAGTTTAACACTGGTTGCAGGGAAAAAAATAGCCAAGACATGGATAATTTTTTTCATTCGCAACTTGAATACATGAACCCTGGTTTAATATTTTCTAACGGGGAAGAGCAGCAGGGAATGTTTAAAACTTTTTTTTTACTGCATAGATTTTTCAGCTGTCTAAGCTGCCCATCCTAAAGTCACTAATAAACCTCCATACTACCAGCGAGGAAGCCTTTGGTCAGACAGCAGCCTGGATGGTGCCGGGATGGGGTCCACTATCCTGCATGTTTTAGTTGTTTTCTGTCTCTTCAGGACATCTTCAGGTTCTGCAAAAGCTTATCCCTCATTTCTTGTTGCTTTTTTAAAAATCGCAGGTGTCGAACATAGAGAAATAACTAAAACAGTCAGGACAGTGAACCTTGAAGAGCAGTACTGTGTACCACTGACTTTGTAGGATAGAGCTTTAAGCATTTGTAGATGGGATAGAGAACTGTGTTTACACACTATGAGCTGTGGTGATGTTCCTAAACCCATGCAGCGATGTCTGCACCAGAATCAGAGGTGTTTTAATGCAGCAATGCCTCAGAAGAAAACAGAATACAAAAACCCAAGGCTGAGCAGAGGCGTTACACATGTGAGGACCTGACAAAGCAGGAGGGAACGTCTATCTGCTGGTAGGGTTTATTGGTGAGTGAGTGCAGCTGGGATAATTACAGAACAGCAGGTTTGTGAAAAGGCAAGACACAGTAAGTGAAGGAAACTACATATGAGCAGGTGGAACAGAAGTGAGAAGGGCATTTCTGCAGTCAATAAGTGGTTTCATGTTTTGTGGGAGAAGTTTGTCCAGAACATAACTGGTGACTTTTGTGGGCGTAGTTGGTTCAAGACATGATTGGTTGGACTGACTTTTTTGGGTGGGCTTTGAAGAACCTGGGAGAAGTTTTGGGGCTAGCTCAGTTGATACGGCCAGGAAGCACCTATATTTTTTAAATATAAATATTAATCTTAGTAATAGCTCAAGATAGGGTGGTGCTAGCTGAACAAAATTTGAACCACATCCAGTACAGACCAAAAGTTTGGACACACCTTCTCATTCAAAGAGTTTTGTTAAATTTATTTATTTTTCATGACAATGAAAATTGTACATTCACACTGAAGAGAATGCCAAGAGTGTGTGAAGCAGTAATCAAATCAAACGGTGGCTAGCTACTTTGAATAACCTAGAATATAATATATATTTTTAATTGTTTCACACTTGTAAATAATTCCACGTGTTAGCTCTGATGCCTTCAGTGTGAATTTACAATTTTCATAGTCATGAAAATAAAGAAAACTATTCGAATGAGAAGGTGTGTCCAAACTTTTGGTCTGTACTGTACATGTGAAGGAATGTGTAACGATCAGCCGAAACAGCCGTAACCCACCTGGAAAAAGATTGCCCTTTGTAATAATATCCATAAAATGAGGCTGGAAGGTATGTGAAGTCACTAAATTATGTTTACATGTTCACAATAATTTTTATTTGAGACATTTTTCTGTTTTAAACTATAAATAGACAGTTAATAAATAATATAGGCTACATGTTCACAATGATTCAACTGTTACCATGTGTTGCCCCTGTACCCCACAAGACAAGTCAATCTGAGCAGACACTTTTTTTGCCAAACTCAGTTGACGACCAATGTTCCACCAATCACAATTAGGACAAACTCAGCCCACAGAATGAAAAACGTTCACAGTGTACTGCAGAGACCACTAGTAGACAGAAGCAAAACTGCCAAACAGAGCAACACAGCTGAACAGAGAACATTGGCAAAAAGAACTCATACAAAAACTCACTGACACAAAGTGAAAACAAAGCTCTACAGAAAACAGAACATTACAAATCCTATTGACCCATCACCAGCTAATGTAATTCATTACAAAAATGTTTTTCCTGCTGTTTATATTTGCTTGTCAAGTTAAATATCTGAGAGCTTTTTTCTTCTTCTGATGCATCTGTATGCAGATTATACACAGAGTTGTAAAGTAACTAAATACAAATACTTTACTACTGTACTTAAGCAGAAAATTTGGTTATCTGTACTTTACTTGAGTAATTATTTTTCAGCATACTTTTTACTTTTACTCATTACATTTTTACACAATTATCTGTACTTTCTACTCACTACATTTTGTAAAAAGGTAAGAAGTAGAAAGTCGTTACTCCTATTTTATTCCAAGTTATTACTTAAAAAAACTATCCTGATAATTTGTGTCTCCTGGATAGAGGGAATTTAATTGTGGTTGGATGAGAAGTATAAATATATACCATTCTGACACCCTATTAACTTGTACACAACCCATCACAGCTGCACACTGTTAGAAAATATATTTTTTGGAGAAGTCACCTCCCAATAAATGTAATTTTGGAAAACTTAAACCGCTCATTTTTACTCAATACTTTTACTTTTAATAC